TCCGACGGAATGGTGGAGCGCTTCAACAGAACCATAGAAGACCAGCTAGCCAAATATGTGGAGGAGCACCAAAAAGATTGGGACAGGCACGTGCCGTACCTAATGATGGCTTATCGAACCGCCACTCACCAATCTACTGGATTTAGTCCAGCAGTAGTGATGTTCGGTAGGGAACCACGACTACCGGTTGACATTATATTTGGCCGCCCAAAGGATTCACCACAGATGAATGAAACCTATGATGATTATGTAGCGAAGTTGGAAGACTGCCTTGCGGAGGTACATGATTTCACCAGAGCAAAGCTAAGGATTTCCAGTGATAGAATGAAGAGGAGATATGACGTTGACTCTACGGCCGACACGTACCACGTAGGAGATGCTGTAAGATACTGCCTGCCACAGAGAAGAAAAGGGATTACACCGAAATTCCAGAGCAACTGGGACGGTCCCTATTTGGTACGGAGGAAAATTAATGACCTCATCTTCGAGATCCAAAGGTCACCGAGAGCAAAACCACGCATTGTGCACAAAGACCGCCTTTGCAAGTTTAACAGGGAGCCGCCAGAATGGTTCAAGATGATGTCTGATAAAACTACTGGAGACAAGCAAACTACTGGTGAAACTACAAAAGATAATTGTACAGGCGATAAGAGGAGTATGGGCACGCATAAACCTCTAGAGAGGCCTACAAGTGTACCTAGCCTGCATACCACTGGAGAGGAGGATTGTATTGTTGAGAATTGCATTAGCAATACCATTGGAACGATCCCACGGGTACCCGGAAAGAGAGCTACAAAACTGCCCAGCTGGCTTAAAGATTTTCATGTATATACGACAAGCCAACTACCCCGACAATAATTGGGCTCGATGAATTCTTGTTGGGCTCGACCATTTTTTTTTGTTTTGCCAAGTGCTAATAGCAGAAAACCAAAAAAAAATGGAAAAAGAAAAGAAACAGATAAAGACACAGAAAAGAAAAAGATGAAGTCAAAGAAAAGAAACAGATGAATGCAAAGAAAAGAAACAGAAAAGAAACAGATGAAGACAACAGATGAAGACAAGAAAAGAAACATATGAAGACAAAGAAAAGAAACAGAAAAGAAGAAGAAGACGAAAAAAGAAAAAGACAAAGACAAAGAAGAAGAAGACGAAAAAGACAAAGACAAAGACAAAGNTACCCTTGAATAACGGACGAATACCCTTGAACACGGGACGAATACCCTTGAACACGGGACAAATACCCTTGAATACGGGACGAATACCCTTGAACACGGGACGAATACCCTTGAACACGTGACGTATACCCTTGAACACGTGACGTATACCCTTGAATACGAGATTTATAGCCTTGAATATGGGACGAATACCCTTGAATACGGGGACGTATACCCTTGAATACCAGACGTATATCTTTGAATACGGGATTTATAGCCTTGAATTTGGGACGAATACCCTTGAATACGGGACGAATACCCTTGAATATGGGACGAATTCCCTTGAATACGAAACGTATACATTTGAATACGGGATGTATTCTCCAGTTTTCAAGAAGAATACATGAAATATTTCTTAAAATCTATGGGTATATTTAATATAAAAATGAAGTGCAACAGTGATAAAAAATTGTATTCTCTATTACAATATCAATGCAATATATACTTAAAAATACAAATCTATGTATATTATAAAAATGAAAAGAAAAGAAGAAAAATTTGCAATTAAACTTTATCGTTGTTTCCTCCTCTTTGATGGAGATCTTGTTAATGTTTTCCTAAAAAAATGACAGAAAATTAATTAGTCAAAAACATAAACAGACATTTCAATAGGCGATTTGCATTATTGTTTCTTTACTACCACTCCTAGAAGGTTGTGTGCATTTTCTCTCTACTTATTCAGATTTATTAATTCATCATAATCCCTCAATACAATTGTTACTAATTTATGATCTCACAAAAGCATCGTCAGCAAAGCTTTCAGAGAGTGGTAGTAAAGAAACATCATCATGCAAATCACCTATTGATTGGAATATTTTAGATAATTTACATATAATACCATCTAATGGTTGATTCTCTTTTTACAATCATGCAATATGGTTCATTCAAAGTCTCTTACAAACAATTTTTTTTTTCTTTTCTGTATATTTGACTGTTACACATAAAACTCCATTGACTTATACAGTACCAGTTCTTGAATTATAGCAGTATTATATTAAATACATAGATTTACCTAAATTTTGGAAGACCTTTTCCTAAAAAGGAACAAAAACAAGGTTTAAGTAATTAACAAATCATGATACAGGATCAAAACATCACATAAATGATCAGAAATTAAGTATTTCTATACGAAATACCAACTTTCGAGAAGAATTAATGAAAAATACTGTGCGTATTTGATGAAAAGTGAGAATTAATACCAGGAGAATGGTTTTCTTCTTTTTAAAATGTATTGGGTAATTCTTAGTCACCACCAATATGTTTGCATAGAATCTAAAATACTTACATGTATGAGTACATTAAATAATTTGAAAAGCAGAGTCATATTAAAATGAAAGATATATATGTGACATTTGCTTGAAAAAGGTACAGTAGATAGAGGAAATCCAGGAAAACAATGAAATAAAATCAAACTAAATACTAACAAATACCTGGTATTTAGAGACAATTTGTCAGTATCAATGAACCAGAACATAATGAAAAAGMATCCAGATGGAACCATTTTTAATAGTTTTGCCTCTGAAACCGTCGCACACAAAGAAMTGAAGRCGAGGCGCCATGCATAAAGCTCAACTGGCTGAGCTTTACGCACAGYGCCTCGTCTTGATTCTTTTGTGTTTGACTACTGAAGTGAAATTTGCAAATCGGCTGTTCAGCTTGATTGCATTCTGGTTCATTGATACTGACAATTTGCCTCTAAATACAATGTAGCAGCTATTTGCTAGTATTTAGTTTTATTTCATGGTTTCCATGTGTTTGCCTTAAAACTAGCTGTAAAGACTGCTTGATCAAACTGATACACAACAGATTTTGGGCTGTGTCATAAATGACTAGACCTGTGTAGCCTCAACCTTGTGAACCTTTCCTTAAATTGCAAAACATAAATTTACACACTGCAATTCACATAGCCATCAAGCAAAAAAGCTCCTGTAATCTGGAATATTTTCAAAGTTTACAAAGCTCATAAAAAACAACAACAATATTCCACATGTATTGTTTAGTATAAAACATYGCAAATTGTATTTCTCACATTTCTGTTTAGGAAGTTGATCTTTGGCTAGGAAATCAAGTATGGATTTAAAACTAAAATGAATACAATTAAAGAGTAACAAAACTATCATCATGTAGTTTTAAAATGATTCAAAAAGCAGAACATCTTTAACTTAAATAAAAGTTCTTGATAAATGACACTCCTTTAACATAAATATCATATATATCATAAGCCAAAGATAAGGTGTGTTTAGCCAAATTCAACAGATTCCTAAGGATAAATATGAGAACTACAGTTTACCAGCTCATTTTACTAGTATTAATCACTCACATAGTTTCAGCTGTATTGAGCTTCTTGTACACATGTATCCATGATATTCATTTGTTTCAAGACTTTGATTTGGTGTCTATGAGCAAGAAAGATATCGTTAGAAAGTCTTATTATGTTTGACATCACGATGACTAGTGATATAACTCAACAACAATGTAAGTTTATTTGATATTGGACTCAGAGAGGCAAAACAGACTAATAAGCTGAACGTACCTTACATTAAATGCCATCGAATCTCACCAGTTGACTGTCATCCACGGTAAAATATAATGCCTAAAGACACTACAGCCACTCGGATAGCCTACTAGTTGAAGGGTGTTTGCTTTTAAACGAATAAAATCTACGAAAACTGCTATTAGAGACGAAAATCTGTAGTCTTATACCTCAAAGGTCCTGAAAGTGACGGTTGAAATTGGCGGGCGCCCGGCGATGGAACAATAGAATATCGCAAAGGATCATGGGTATCCTCGCCCCAGTCTCCAGGAGGAAACGCGTTTTTTTTTGAAAATATTGAATAGAAAAGTAAGCTAAATAAAATTAAATTCGAAATAGATAAATAAATATAAGC